GCCATGATGAAGAGCCAGATGTTGTACATCAGAAATTGACACATTGTAACTGACTATACTTCAACTTAAAAAAAAAATCCAGATGTTAAATTAGGAGCTAATCATTAACTTTTAAAGAAATATTTATCTTTAAAAAAGAAAGAGGGAGTTAGCATAGAGAATCCTAGTGTATTTGAAATACGATCCAACTTGCAAAAAATTTTTTTTGATTAACACACAGCAATTACAGCATAGTAGCAACGGGCCTCAAAGCTTGAGCTGCAGTCCTACTTTTGTTTTGCACCAGTCATCATGTTAAGCAAATCATTTTTTTTCTAAAGCTCCATTTTCTCAAGAGTAAAGTGGGGACAATGCAATCTGTCTCAAATATTTTCAGTAAAATAAAGTATTTGAAAATATTCTATAAAATCTAAGCTTGAGAGCAGGGATTCTCAGCCCTAGCTGCTGTCCAGACCTCACCCTGGGCCCCTCAAAGTCTCCCTAATTTAAACAAAATGTAATTTAAAAATAAAAACAGTAAGAAACTTTCTTAAAAAACTGAAAATAGACTTACCCTATGATCCAGCATTCCCACTCCTGGGCATATATCCAGAGGAAACTCTAATTCAAAAAGATACATGCACCCCAATGCTCATAGTGGCATTATTTACAATAACCAAGACATGGAAACAACCTAAATGTACAGCAATAGATGACTGGATAAAGAAATTGTGGTGTATATATACAATGGAAAACTACTCAGCCATAAAAAAGAATAAAGTAATGCCATTTGCAGCAACATGGATGGACTTGGAGATCGTCATACTAGGCCAAGTAAGCCAGAAAGAGCAAGACAAAGAGATCACTTATGTGTGGAATCTAAAATACGATACAAATGAACTTGTTTACAAAACAGAAACAGACTCACAGACATAGAAAACAAGTTTATGGTTACCGGGAGGAAGGAGGGGTGGAGGGATAAATTGGGAGTTCGGCATTAGCAGATACAAACTACTATATATAAAATAGATAAACAACTAGGTTCTACTGTATAGTACAGGGAACTATATTCAAAATCATGTAATAATCTATAATGGAAAAAGAATATGAGAAGGAATATATGTATGTATCACTGAATCACTATGCTGTACACCAGAAATTAGCATAACATTGTAAACCAACTATACTTCAATAAAAATTAATTAATTAATTATAAAAAGAAAAGGAAAAATGTTAGAGCCCCAGAAGGTGGGCTCGTGTATCAGTAGATGTGTGAATCTCCCCAGGTGACGCTAATCTATAGTTAGGACTGAGAACCATTGCACTATTAAAGAGGTTCTTAATGTTAGCTGCCCCCTGGGACCATCTGGCATCTGGAAAGCATCCAAAAATATTGCTGCACGGGCCCCCACCCCCAGAAAGCCTGATGTAATTGGCCCGGCTCACAGCCTGGAGATGGAGGTTTTGACAAGCTGCCCAGGTTTTTCCACGTGCAGCCAAGCTTGAGAACCGCTGGAGAGAGTCTACTTGTCTCAGCACTGGGGTCCTAAGGAGCCTGTAAACACTCTCTCAAGAACTGCTTTGTCCACTTAGCACTGAGTGGTAAAATCTGAATGAAACTGAGAACATTTTCAATTCTTTCATTTGGAAAAAGGAAAACAAAGGAGCGGGAAAACACACCCTCAGGAATCTGCTGGACGCCACGGCAGGAAACACTTTCCAAGCTGCAGCCCTCCCCTGCCTCCGCAAAGGCCATGTTCTTACCTTCTTCATTGTTGTTTTCGACAGAATCAAGGCTAGAGATTCCATGGACTTCGGCATCGTGTCCTTGTTCTATGGCCTCTACTATGGAGTGATGGGGAGAGACTGTGCGGAGATCTGCTCAGATTGCATGGCTTCTACTATAGGGGTAAGTGTGGCTTTGAAACCATTCATGGTTATCTTACACATTTGCAACTGTTTTCAGAAATAGATGTCTTTTTTGATTCTCCCATCCCAAATGCTCCCTGGATTCTCCTGGCATCAAAACTGTCTTAGCTAATTCATTGAAAAATGAATTTCTTGGAGGGGAGGGTATAGCTCAGTGGTAAACCATGTGCTTAGCAGGCATGAGGTCCTGGGTTCAATTCCCAGTGCCTCCAGTAAACAAACAAACAAACAAACCTAATTATCTATCCTCCCAACCCCCTGAAAAACAGAATAAAGCTATTTTTTAAATAAATTTCTTATTTACATAAAGTGATTGAGAAATAAGGCATCTTTTTAAATAAAATACGGTAATTATTTGGAAGTAACTACATCTAGCATACTCAAATTGCCCACATTTAAAGAACTAGTAAAATTCAACAACAACAAAAGCCCTTTATCCCTGTTGATGCAAATAAAAGTCATATTTGATGCACATAAAATGCTTAAGAATCAACCAGTACCTCAGGGTAATATTTATGATAAGATGAGTTATACAGCATTTGAAGAAGAAGAAGACTTAAAAAGTGTGCTGAATGTATTCTGACTATATATTGTTCCCTGGAATTTAAAGAAAAAAAATCCCTAATAGTTTTTCTTTTAACTCTCTTTAAATTAAAACTCAGGATGGACGTATTTTCTGGTTAGATGGATTCCAGATTCAGGTATTAGGAGTACCCATCTGCATCTGACACACGCACATCTCTTAAAAACTTACACACCAAGGGCTTGGGGGATGGCCCAGTGGCTTCAGGAATTCCACGCCTCTGCCCTCTACCAGTCTCTTGGTACACAGCCAGTGTGAAATGGGAAACCCAGTGTGAATAAATAACAAGAGCAGAGTGAACTTCTGGACTGTTCTCTCTCTCCATTTACGGGGCAGGACTGAGTTAACATAACCTCGACCTCATCCCCTCCCGTCCCCTTTCCCGTCCCTGTAGGCACCATCTTACTCTTTCCCTAGAGCCTGAAACCCAGCTCCTGTGGTGAGATGCTGGGAACCTCTACCATATGTCATCTCTGGGGCAACTGCCTTTTTAAATAAGGTTTAAGGTGAGCACAGGAGGGAGAGTTTTTATTCCTAGTTCCTCCAACAAAAACCGGAGCCATCCCCCGTGAGAATATTCCCAAAGCCTCTTGTGCTTGTTTATGGACAGGAGAGGGAGAGAAGAGTTGCATGCCCTCCATTCTCCGGTGAACCAGGAGGAAGAGATTCAACCTAGCAAGACAACCAAGGCTTTAAGCACCACTTTTCTGGAGATTTCTCACCTGATCCCACCCCACCAGTCTTCAATATCTTGTCATCTCCTGTCATCCTTATTCCAACCACCAAATATATAAACCCACCGCCTCAAGCCATTGGCACAGCCACCAGTGACTTGAACTGATGGGTGTGTGTGTGTGCGCGTGTGTGCACACTGGTGCACGTGCTTGTGACAGAGGTAAAGAGGAAGCAAAGGGGGAGCAACTCCATTCTCACACCAGTTCCTGAGCCCCAGACTAATTAAGTCAGACTCCGGGAGTGGAGCCAATGCGTCTGCTTTGTTTTAAAAGCTCCCTAGGAAAAGGAATGAGCTCTTAAGCCATGCAAAAACATGGATGAATCGTAAATATATATATATTGCTAAGTGAAAGAAGCCAGTCTGAAAAAGCCACATGCTAGGTGATTCCAATTATACGACAACCTGAAAAAGGTGCAGCTATGGAGATGCTAAAGAGATCAGTGGTTGCCAGGGGGTTAGGGAGGGAACAGGGTTGAACTGGTGAAGCACAGACACTTTTTTTAGGGTGGTGAAATTATTCTGTATATGATATTCTAATGGTGACTACATGACACTATGCATTTGTCAAAATCAATAGTAATTTATAGCAGAAAGGATAAACCTTAATGTATGCAAATCTTAAAGAAATCATTTAAGATGTCAGGGAATGCCAGCATACAATGTAGACTGACAGAAGAGTAATTGTATTACAAATGTATGAAATAGCCTCACTGAAGGGGGTGGGGAAAAAGTGCTGACCTAAGTAACTTTGAAATAAGTGGAGATCTAAGATTAAAAGCAAGAGGAACTGTATGTAAGCACTGAACTCTAGTTCATAAATGGTTTCCCTCAGGGCTGTGGTTAACAATTCTGATACCACTATACATGCATTCTGGAACTGGACTACTAAGTAAATGGAAGACCCATAGTGGAAACAATGTTTCTTATTCTCAGAAGGTTGCAGACAAGCAAGGAGAGAAGACTGGAATGGTCTGTGTAGTAATGCATGAGAGTTGAAGGCGTCAGTCTGAACTCATGTTTAGCTTAATATAGATTATATGTATCTCAGTGTAGATGATACATATATAAACGTGTATACACATGGGATAGTATACACAGACATATTTCCATGTTCTGTCAGGTAAGAGGCGTTAGAAACAGTGACACCTCAGTAGCAATGAGCACACCAAGTGCCCATATCTTGGTTTCTAATACCATTCTACAATAAAAGAAAACAGGGTTCCTTGGAAAATGGCTGATTCTAGGTCTTAGCAGGGAATATACAGTATGAGTCTGGAATATCTTGTAGTGCCAGAAAGTAAGGAAGTGCTCAAAAAAAAAAATCCACACATAAGAGAAAGCCCACAATGATGGGCATATGTCAAAGAGACGCAGAAGCCAACTGACTGAAAGAGACCCCAATGGCTGAAGCTGAAACAATCAGAGCAACAAAATAGTAGCGGTAAGAGTAGTAGTAATAGTATTTGGTTATAACTTGAAATATAAAATAAATATCCATGAGTCCATAGTGACATAAATAAATGATTGAATAGCTAGATACATAAATAAACAGAGAAGAATAGGCAAATTTCCTATGCAGAAGAATTCCACATAATTTATGTAGATATTCCACCCCTGAGAAAGTTTTATGGAGCATAGTTCATAACTCCCCACTCCTTAAGAGTGGGCTGCTCATGGTGTTGGTGATTTCCTTCCAAAGGATACAGTGTAGAAAGGAGGAAAAGAACAGGTAGCTTTATAGTGGAGAAACTTGACAAACACTACCTCCAGCTGGGTGATCAAGAGCCACATTGTCAGTGATGTCGTGGTGATGGCACGTACCTTGCTACGGTGTGGTCAGAATGGCCCTTTACCTCTGTTACCTTCCTCCCTAAACCCCAGGATAATCAACAGAAAAAAAAAAAAAAAAACCTCCACTAAATTCCAATGGAGGGACACTCTACAAAGTATCCCCCAAACTGTCCAAGTCATAGGAATAAAGCAAAGTCTGAGAAACTGCCAGAGGCAAAAGCAGCCCAAGGAGACATGATAACTAAATGGATGGGATTCTGGGAACAAAATAAGGACATTAGGGAAGCACCAAGTAATCTGAATAAGGTATAGACTTTATTTCGTAATGATGTATCAATGGTGGCTCGTTAATTGTGACAAAGGTACCATACTAATGAAGGTGCCAATCAGAGGAGAAAGTTGGTTTGGGAACCCTGTGCTATCTTTTCTGTGAGTCTAAAACAACTATAAAGTCAACATTTAATTTTTTAAAAGAGCTTCTTAGACATTCTAATGGGCTGCCAGTGTTGAGAATCACTCCTTATCCACAACGCTGCAGCGAGGTAGATCCCAAGTTAGAATTCTAAATGCATTTCCTTCTAATGAGATTAATCTGTGTGCTCCCTATAATCCCATGGGATTGTATTTAAATTAATTAAAATTTTGATTATATTAAAATTAGCTAAAAATACACAGATGGCTGTGAGTCTGTTTTGTACACTAGAAACTGACACACTGTAACTGACTATACTTCAATTAAAAAAATTTACATAGACGCCTGGATTTACTCCAGATCTGTGCATCAGAGATTCCAGGAAAATAAAGGGAAGAGTCTGGGCAAGCCTGAAAAGCTTCCCGTGTGATTCTGAACTCCAGCCCTGGATACTAACTGCTCCTTTTGAAGGATTCCTCAGTGGACCTTGACTGGATGTTATCATTAGCAATGTGCTTTGGGTCCATTTGTGGTTCAGTGAGGTTTTGCTTGGAAACCTTTGCCCCCTGTAGCATTATTTTTATGGGGAAAAGTGTCTTAAGGCCTAAAGCAACAAAAAAGTGGTAAAGACTCTATGTCCCAGAAAGAGAAAGAAAAATACCACATAATATCACTCATATGTGGAATCTAAGAAAAAGACACAAATGAATTTATTTACAGAACAGAAACATACTCACAGACATAGAAAACAAACTTATGGTTATGGTGGGGGAGAGGGTGGAAAGTGATAAACTGGGAGTTTGAGATTTGCAGATACTAACCACTATAAATAAAATAGATACACAACAAGTTTCTTCTGTAGAGCACAGGGAACTATATTCAGTATCTTGTAGTAACCTATCATGAAAAAGTATGAAAACATACGTATGAAAAGAATATGAAAATAAATGTATGTATGTGTATGTATAACTGAAACATTATACTGTACACCAGAAACTGACATGATATTATAAATTGACTGTACTTCAATCTTTTAAAAAAGCAAAAAAAAAAATACTGTGTCCGAGAGCCTGGCGGTGGCTTCCCTGTGTTCGGAGGATGGTGTGCACGCTCCTTTCCCACAGTGACCTGTGCATTTCCCCCAGCAGTTCTACAGTGTCAGTGGGATGCCCACCAGGAGCCTGTCAGACAACATCTGTGCCGTCTGCGGGCAGCAGATCATTGTGGAGCTCGACGAGGAAGGGCTCATCGAAAACACCTACCAGCTTTCGTGCCATCACGTGTATCCTTTGCATGAGGAACCCTTTGGCCTTCATCAGGCCAATTGTAGGAAGCCATCTTCAGATAATCTGTGTTGGGCACGGGAGATGGCGAATCAGAGAAGATAGTCTCATCACCTTCCTCCTCCTTCCTCTCCCCAACTCCCCCGTGCCTGCTGCCCTGCTTCCCTCCCATCCCCAAGCCCCAGACCTTTATCCTCCTGCCCATCTTCTTTTGGAGACTTTCTGGCAATCCCTGCTGAATACTGAACTACTAGTTAAGGTGAACCTCCTCCTCCTCCTTCAGTAATTTCTTTTTCAAAAAGGAATCTTCATGCCATATGGACCTGAAGGCTATAGCATCCATGCAGAGATTGGCTGGGAAAGCTGGTAAACCATAAACGGACAGGTAGCCAAGAAGAACCAGGGAGAGAAGGGGCTGGGGAGTGAAAAAAAGAGTGAAATTTAGGTAGAGGGAGGAACTCTGGACTATCCAGGTGGAGCCTATGTCTGAGTCTCAAAGGACCAAGAACGATAAGGTGTGCTTTGCCTGAAAATAATCTTTAGGAACCTGCTGTGTCAACAGCAGTGATGGGGGAAGCCGAGTATCAGCTTTGGTCTTGAAAGGAGGATAACACCACAGGCAGCGGGGCACCTTAAATCACACAGGGAGGAACCAAAATGTGAGCACCCTGTTCTCGGACCACTTGGCTCCTCTGCCTATGGGTTCTGCCCCTAAATAACCATCTACTGGCTGAGGAACTTGAGGTGTTAAGGACCAGACAAGCCTGGGCCTGGAAACCTGCATTCTCTGGGACTCCAGTCACCTTGAGAAAGACGCCGTAAGCTGAAAGATGCTGAGATCAGGAGCCCTATATACCAGAGTTGTGCTTGGGTTGGCCAACCATCCATATTTCAATTCTTTTCTAAATGCAGGGGAGAGAAGCCATCATTTATCTTTATTTTATAGTATAATACCAATTTTATCATCTCTCTCTACACACAGTCATTTCAAAGCTCTGGCATGATAAGGTGGTCTAACCATCTGTCTTTTGCCTCTGAAGCCCACCTAACGTGGTCAGTAATACCTTAGATGTGCAGTGCTGTGATCTGATTCTGTCTGATCTGCAGAGGTTCCATTTATTCCATCCTGAGAGTAAAAACCTGGACCAAATGCATCTGAAATGTAATAGGAACCCTGACGCCAACACTTAAGCCTTAACGTTTTAAGGTAAGAAACACAAAGCTATCCCATGTGGACTTCTATGTGGTTTTTCAGTGTGATACCTTTCCCCAAAAAGGCTATCAGTCTTAGTAGAAATTTTCCAAGTCTGGTCCTAGTTTTCAATATGACTTCCTTTTCAAATGTTGGACCAGAGCCCCTTTTGCCATTTGCAAGTGGAAATATTTTTCTCTCTCCACCTTTAAAAGCCCTTAGGGATTGTTGTACATGTGTGCATATGTAATCTGAAATGTAGTCACTTTTAAATTTGCTTTTCAGGGAGTATCATTAATGGCCTATTTTCACATGAGTCATATTAGTAAGGAGCAGGCAAACATGAATCATATTAACAAGGGGTGGGAATCTGAGTCCCACTCGGTGGCAGTTCCGCCCATGAAGAGGCTTCTCAGCACAGAGATTTTGAAGATAAAAGAAAATATTAGGGGAGGGTCTAGCTCAGTGGTAGGGTGCCTGCTTAGCATGCATGAGGTCCTAGGTTCAATCCCCAGTACCTCCGTTAAATAAGAAAATAAATAAACCTAACTACCTCTTCCCCTAAAAATAATTTTTAAAAAAGTTTTTAAAGAGAGAACATCAAAGAGGAGATGGACATTTCAGTGCTGGCCCTGTGACCCCTGAACTCAATATTATCCAGAAAATGGGGCTATTCTCCAGCCCTTTTGAATGAAGGGCTGTAAGGTTTAGGGTTCAGAATCTTTGTTCTAATACACGACTTTACGTTAACCCAAGCATGTTGCAAAATGACCCCAATTCCAAGAGCATGAAATACTGGAAACTCCTAGTTGCACATGGATCTAATGTTGAGGAATGATCTACATGGCCTTGGCTTGTCCTGACCTCCTTGATCCTCCGTCTGTTAGAGAGGGGACTCCCACATCATTGCCGTTCATTTGGGTGTGTCGCAGGCTAGTCAGAACCTTATATGGTCTTGACCCAGGAAACCACATTGAAATCAATGACTGCAGAAATAAACAAGGCATCAGGACGGGTCTCACTATAGTCCATCATTTTACCTACACCTACAAGTTGTGGAACCTGGGGGAAATATGTTTGCCAGAGTAACCGGATTTGAGTGATTCATTCAAATATTCATTCAGTACACAAGCACTTAGGCACTGCTTAAGGTGCTGAGGACAGGGACGAATGAGTCATAGTCCCCCATGAGTGCACAGAAAGTCAAGATACAGCATGACATGTGCTCTCTAAGTCCCTGGTGCTACAGGAAAACGAAGGGTTCACTCTCAACTTTGGGGCCAAAGGGTCAAATCTTCTGGACAAGGGCTTGCATACAAATGAATTTGTAAATGCCTAGAGTTTTAGTGTTTATTAGATTTTTATGCTATGAAAAAATAAACTGGCTTCTTACCAGTAATAAAACTTTGAGGAAAAAACTGATGAAGCTAATAGAAGTATTTGTAAATTTACGACCACAAATAATTTAAACTCATCTAAGGGCCAAAGACAAGTCTGACTGCATAGTAGGTAATGAGCAGTGCACAAAAACCAGACAGAGAAATGCATGATCCACGAGGCAGGGAAGTTGGAGGATGCATTTACATGTGACATCTATTAAAAAAAAAAAAGACTTCCACATTTCTTATCTAATTTAATGACAGGAATCAAGACTCAAGTGAGGTACAAACACGTAAAGCCAAGAAGATCAGGAAATTCCTCAAGGTCATCAGCTATTGCAGCTCTGACTCCAAGGTCACCATTCTCGGGGGTTCTATTGTTCTGCAGAATCTCCCTGAGAAAGTCAGGTCCACAACCGGGTCACAACTAGCAGCCATTGTCACCTCCACCACTCCACCCGACAGTGGGGATCACTTTCATTATGTCATCGTGTAGTAGACATTGCCTGAGAATATCCAGAAGCTTCCCTAACGAGATGCCTAAGCTTTCATGAATTCTGCATCCGAGGTTGGTGTATCGTTGGGAAAAAGCAGACCTGCCCTTACTGCAAAGAGAAGGTTGATTTGAAGAGGATGATCAATAACCCGTATCCTTTTTTATATAAAGTTATGAAATAGTGTGTTAAATGTTTCTGGTGACACAGTCTGTAAACTTCCCTTATCTTCACTATCAGTGTAGCAGGAAACACTATGTTTTCCCCAACCACCTATTTCAAAATGACTTTCCTGTCTCGCTGCTCCCCTGTGCTTTGGTTACTCTTCTTATTAGGAAGTTAAACGCCAAAAAAGATCCACTCTACTCTTCAGAGTGCATGCATTCTACTGTAAGGGCCTTAGTGGAAATGCGACGGAACATTGCAAAAGATAGGTATATGGAAAGATCAGCTGGCCAGCTAACTAGACAGACAGAAAGATGGCTCACAGGTAATAGGTGGACGGGATGAATGGGTGGAGAGATAAACAGATAGATTAGAACTGAAATTTTAAAAGCCCCAAATGGGAACCAGAATATAGAAAAGTATTGTTCGGTTGCACCAAATTTTATTACTTCCAGAAATGCACGGGTGCTTTCCCCTGGAGTTCCGGCTGTGTCAGTTCTCTGCTATGCCTCATCTTTTCTTAGGCTGACTCAAAAGGAGTGCAGACCTACTACAGATTTGGGTGGTGAATGGCAGCCATGAAAGTTTTAGAGACAGCAAGGGTCCCCCAACTGAATAAACTCAAATCTCATTAAGGTCACAGAAGGGGGACGGCCCCGCGTGGGGCTGACTGCAAAGACTGAGCCCTCAACCCCACCAGGGGAGAAAATGGCACTAAAGCACATCCCCCACTGAGCAGAACACCAAGAGGACGGCTACAGCCTGCCCGGTATCCTCTCTTCTCCCAGGAGACAGCCTTCCTCTTCTTTCTGAGTACCAGTCCCCTACATGTCACAGTGCAAAGGAGACGCCCCCGGCTCCCTGTGCCCCACCCCAGCTCCACACCAACTCTAAATACACAGCTTTAACGGCTGTCGGCAGCAACACCCCATCTCTGAGAACTGGTAAGTAGGGCCACAGAGGAGGGAGCTTGGATGGGTCCCTGGGTCTCGGAGCCACGCCACGGCCACAGAGCACACCCTCCGTGGCCACCAGCTCCCCGACAGGCCTGGCCTTTCCCGCTGAGTCGGTGCAGCTCCAGCACAACCAGGGCCAGAGGCGTGTGGTGCTCGGTCCTCCGTCCCCCTTCCTTGCATCCACTCTCCCTGCATCTCCCTCCCAACAGGAGGAGGCTGAGTCCAGAACAGCTTTTGGTTAATAACTGACTGATGAAACTGCAGTATATAAATCTTTGTTATAAACTCGGTCATAATATGATCATAAATGTCACCTGAATGATCGTGTAAGTAACAAAGGACAACTGGTTTCTTTGAGAGAAAGCAACGATCTTGAGAGAAAAAACTTTCATGGTCCTGGGAGCATAAACGTTTGAATATTACATGTACCCTTTTTCTTGAGACTCAGTAGAAGAGCAACAGTCCACATACTGTCTTTTTGTGTGGAGCATTGCTAACAGAGATGCTACGTATTAATGAAGTTCCTTTAGCACAATTTATCAAAGATACCAGGGTAAGGCAGGTGTTATCTGTGAACTAATATTTTCCTTTTTAACATGCAATGAGCCGATGGCAGGGGAACCCAGAGCTGGGTTTTTTTTCTCACTTAGAGCAGTTTCCATTTCCTTTGCTGGTGGGGGAGGTAACTAGTTTTACTCATTTATTTCTTTTAAGTGTCGGTACTGGGGATTGAACCCAGAACCTTGTGCGTGCTAAGCACACACTCTGCCACCGAGCTGTACCCACCCCCCTGTAGACAGTTCTGAATTACTTTTAGAAATAAGGTGGCGTGTTAATAATGATGAATATTTCTGCTATGTGGCTGTATGCAGAGCAACCTCCTTAACTGAGATTTAGCTGGGAGCGCACACACATTCTATACGGACAAATCCTGGACTGGCTTCGTTACCTGGTGGCCTGGCAGCCCGTGGTGATAGGAATCGTTCAAGGCATTAACTATTCTCTCGGGCTGGAATAACACAGACGACTTACCCCAGAAGCAACGTCTCACAT